GGGACAGCGGGGCAGGGCCGGGGACAGCGGGGCAGGGCCGGGGACAGGGGAGCGGGGCCGGGGACAGCGGGGCAGGGCCGGGCCGGGCCGGCTGCCGGGACCGGTGACAGAACGGGGCGGTGGCAGCACGAGCGCTCCCGCAGTGCCCCAGAGCAGCTCCCGACCCCCGGGTCCTGGCCCTCAGCTCGAGTGCGGGTTTGTTACCCCACAGCCCCCCGGAGTGGTGTTTTAAGTAAAAAATAACTGTATTGCCGCTGCATCTGCACCTAATAGTCTTTGACTTGATCAAGCAGAGCAGCATTTACATTTTAAATCTGTCTGGTGATGGGTTCATGCTTTCTTAGGATTTACTTGGAACGTCTGAAGCTTGATACCACTGCCAGAGTTTTCATCTATTCTATAGTATCAGATGTCACTGTACTGTCAGTCTGTGAGATGAAGTTTTGCATTCATGGATATACACACATCCACACTACAGGAGGGATAGCGCATGACTGAACACACATAGAGACACAAAAATAATTCAACCTATTAAAAACCCTCACACTTAGCTGAAAATTGCATTAACAAAACCAGTATTTTTTCCAATTCCTGTCTTAGCCACTGGAATAATCCGTCAAGACATATAAAACCACGCCAAAAAAATCGATGCATTACAAGCTGTTTAAGAGTGGACAGAATATGCCATTTAATCTAACAACCACAAGTGTAAGTATTTAATGAAAATAAGGGAAAATAGCTTCAGACAGAAGCCGGGGGAGCCATCTTAATATTTGAAACAAAACCCTATATTTAGAAAGCTTTTATGCGGTGAGGACACTGAAACAATCTACTAATAAATGGCCCTTAGTGGCTAATTCTTACCTATTTCTTTAATGAGTTCTTAATACAGTATAATATTATTTAAATGTGATTTAAATGTGATTTGAGCCAATCAGTCTAGTCATTCAAGCCCCATTAAAGCTGTTTTAAATTTTCCTTATTTTAAAAAATTAAAACATTAAAAATTCCTAGAGCTAATCTGTTGCAGTAGTGTAAATTTAGCAGATAACTTTGCCATAAAATTTTTCATCTGTATTTGCTATCCTTACATTAAGCCATTCCTGCCAATAGCACATGTAGAGTGAGATACTGCTCAGTAAATTTACAGTGGCAGCCCTGGTCCCAGATGGGTTTGTGTTCATGGAGTTTTGTCTGCAGCAGGAGCTGTAAAGTTGCAATGTGCTGGACAGAAATCTTACAGGGCATTCTGGACTGAATCAAATCCCGCTCATAATGGTGCTCAGAGCTCTTCAAAGCCTGGAAGATGCTGCTTTTGCACATGGGCCAACTGTGGAGTTTAGATTAGCCTAGAAGGCTTGAAGAATGCTAAAGAGAAAAGAATGTCTTAATGTATTGTAATGTGGAGTTAGATCTTTGTAAACATTTTACTCTGACACAGCAAGTAATGTCAGATTGATGGCCTGAAAAATGTCACAGTCCATTAGCACTAGTTGTCTTGTCAGACATTTAACCTTAAGGTACACAGCATTACATTATTACTGATCTGGATTTGTTTCCAGTCCAGCTGAAATGCAACTGGTAATCTGGAATGACATCTGATGTGCTAAACGGATCTAGTAATAAGCAGATGACACAGATTTGCATTCTTACAAATACCTTACAAAGGCTGCTTCATAAAATTATAGAAGATTTGTCATCAGACATTTTAAGTGAGAAGAGCATACCTAAAATAGTTTATTATTTGTTATCAATATCCCATCTAAAGCCATCTGCTGACTTTTGAATATGTAAACACACCCATTCGCACTCGGGCTTTCTGTATCAGATTGACCTCATTAGGAAAACTCCATCCAAAATCCATTTCCTTCCCCATTTACCAAACTACTGCAATAGTCAAAGTCTCACTGGAGTTCAGACATTGCAGCAGTGACAACACAATGTGCCAGTCAAATAATACTGAGCTGAGTATTACAGTACACTTGACAGGCAATTGCTCTCACTGTTTGTGCAGCAGGGTTTCATTTGACTGATAGGAATGCTTCCCAGTTTCCAGAAGCTTGTCATCTATCCTGCTTGTTCCTTAAGCTTTTGATAGATACCCAAGAAACACCACAAGACTACAAACTCCTCACAGGAGTGAGAAACTACACCTCAGGGTACACTGAATTCTTGCCTTGATTTCTGCATTCAAAGACCTCCTAAACATGTCAAATGTATTTATTAATGGTTCAGACTGAGCAGTGACCCACAAACAGACCCTGACCACAGCACGTGCTCATCCTTTGAGCCGCTACAGCACAGCCTAAGCACACCCAAATGTCCAGGAGCTACAAACCTTACACATTGCTGCTTTAGGGATGGGAACAGATTGGGGAACCTTATCAAGCATTGTTCTGTGTTGTACTGATAGAAAAGGTGTTCAGCTTGTCAGCCTAACCACAAGCCTGTGCAACAATCTAAGGGAAACGACTGTTTCCAGAAATGTTTTCAACCCTGCTGCAAAACAGAGAAGTGTTAAATTGCTGCCAGAGAAAGGGGAAACACCTATGATAGCTATTAGCACTGGTAATGCAAGAGACACTATTAATGGAGTATTCTAAGCACAGGACAGAAAACACTGAGAAGCTCTCCTCCTCCACCTCTTTTTAAACCTACTAAGCAAAGTAATAAATTCAGCTTCCAAGATGCACCAACAACTACTCCTAACTATTTGCTCAAGGACATCCCCAAACAGAAGGAGTTTAAATGCAACTAATTAAATGAAGATGTTTATGTTGTTCTGACTTGAAATGTGAGTGGGGAGCATTTCTGCAGACTGTTGGTCATGTTTTGCATTCTTGCCTAAGCAAAGCTGCATGGTTAGGCTTAATTTAGGAATAATTTTGAGACCTCCTTATCACTAAAATTTAAGATTTGAATAATAAATATGGGGCATAACCACCACTCTTCTTCCCTACCTAGCATTGGGGAAAAAAATGTTCTTTAAAAAAGAAAATGTGTCATGTAATCACCCCCTGTCTGAAGGAGGTTTAGCCACATAGATGAAGCTGTCAAACCACTCTGAGGTACAGCATTTACCCACTGCTCTGTCACTGCTGCAAACACAACTGCATGCAAACCCCTTGCAGGGCAGGGGCTGCATGCTGCATTCTCCCACAGAGATGAAAACCTACTTACTGGGAAGGAAATGTGATATAAGAACACTTCAATAAATCATCCAGAGCCTCCACATTTTTTTAGCTTTAGCAAAGACAACTTCACTTTTTAAAAAATGACCTAGGGCTAGTTTCACATATATGTTTTCACTTAAAAAATGGGCTTAGACTGGCAGTATAAATCCACATAATCATGCATATTTTTAATTGCTTTTCTGAAGTCTTCATAGGCTTGCAATGATATAAGTTCTTTAAAATGTTTAGGAAATCTTACATTGATTCAAATAGGCAGCAGCTTAGAAATGCTCAAGTACTTTTAAATACTTTTCATATAGAAAATGTTGAAAATTTCTTTTCAACATTTAAAGAGCTCCTCTGAGGGGTTAAACTCTGCACAGAGATGGTGACAACAGCAGCTGGTAAATGGGAAGAAGCAGGTGATACTGAAAGCAAAGCCTTTCTCCAATTGGAACCCAATCACATGTCTCATCAGGCGAAGCATTCGGCTCCCAGCTCATACTAGTGTTGCAGGTCTAGATGTGACCAGAGTTTAAAACATACAACAAATTCCAAGTATTAGAACACTTTGGTTTTGCACTTTTGGCTTCTTACTCAACAATTAGCCATATGTGAAACCATGCAGGTGCAGCTATCACAACATCCTTGTTTACCAAATACACCCAAAACCAAGTGCAGGGGAACTGCAGCTCTAAATAATCTTTAAAAACACAATTCACAATTCTGTCCACCCTGTTGGCAATCAATTTTTAAGTGGTTTCCAAGTGATACATGCAACACCCCAAAAGGAAAATGATTGCTCCTGAACACATATCCCCCTCTAGATTTAGTGGTATTTTAGTCTTCATTTATTTCTAGCCCTCCAAGTAGCACACTGTTGAAGATGAATGTAACTGAGGTTGTCCTCATTAAGTTGCCTCTTTTCATCTATTTAAAACTGCGACTATGCTGACCCTGCAATCATTTCATTTTGCTTCAGACAAAATCCCTGCCTCAGTTCCTGCTGAGGAGGTGTGCTTTTGTGCCGCGTGGGCCTACAGCTATACGTCTTAATCAAGCCATTTTAGAGACTACTCCACAACTCCCAATTAAGTCCATTGCTATCCCCAACTGTTGAACTGCTTGCTGTGCTCTGCCAAACAGCTGCTGCAGCTCTGCACCTGGTGAAATGAAGTATGAGTTGACAAAATATTTTGGGGTTCATCTGGATGAAAGGTAAGTCCAAAGTCATTATTATCAGCTAGGCATGCTGTTAGTAGCAAAAGATTTTAAAGATCTAGTCAACTGAATTTTCATCCGGTTTCCTCTCACCTTGAAATCCCTTGAAAGGCTATCATATTTGCTGCTTTTCAGAATTTAAGGTAACAGCAGTACACTTTGGAAAGAAAGTGATTAGGAAGATTAGATTATCACCAATTCATCATATCAAACCAGACCTGGTAGCCTCCCCTTTTTGTCTACACCTAAAAGGGCATTATGAAATGATTGGTATTGGATTACTGATCACACAGCCACTGTAGACACCCTGTTTGATCTTGGAGAGATTCTCATATATACACTTTTGAAGGATCAAATCTTCCTACAGCACCCTGGCATTAATGTTGCCAAAAAGCAGGAATTGTTTGAAAGCTGTTAGAGCTCTCTCATTCATAATCTTACCAGGTTATTTGGCCAGTGTTGCTTGCCAGAAACTGCAGCTATGCATTGTTCTGTATATCCCTTTCAGTGGGGAAAAGTCAACAGAGAGTGTATAAACCAACTGCTGATTGGCAGCAGTGCAAAGAACAGCAAGATACTAATTATCCTCAAAGAAGTCATTATTAGACCTCTGTTTAAGAATCCTTGCAATGTAATAATTTTTCAGAATAAACAGGCTCTCCAAAGAATCACCTTTTCTTGCAAATCAACTGAGACAGAATCGTGCTGGTTATAGTAGAACATCTTCAGTGTATTTTTGAATCTTTGGAAGTCCTTTTGTTCCTTATCACCTTAATGTAGGCTTCTGTAGCACAGAGAGGGAGTGGGCAAAGCTCAGTTACCAGCTGAGCATCCTGCTGCTGACAGATGAGAGCAGCTGCCTGGAAGCAGAGATCCTGTCAGCTGGACAGGTGCTGTGGCCTTCCAGAGGCCTGCTGAGAGTAGACAGAACCCTCTAAGTGCTTTAGTCCCTTTCTGAAAAATACTTTAGCAGTATTAGAAAAGTTCTCACTTTCCTAAAAAGCCTTTGGTCTATAGCATTTTTAGGGTAATAACTGGGTTTCACAAAGTGTTAGGTCCATTTCCCAAACTTTTGTGCATACAGCCATTCACAGAAAAATTGCAGTGCTCACAGGGATGCCCAAGACCAGCCTGGAGCATTTGCTACCCCCAGCAGATTTATGACTGACCTGACTACTGACTTTAGATCATTAGCCAGTTATATACCAGGGATAGGTAACAGGTTTTTTTCCCATTCTTTTAATTCCTGGGCTTCCATTTCTGTCCTCTTTTGCATCTTCAGGGATAGCCAAGGAAGGAGAAATGGTTTTAGTGAGCAGAGCATGAGATGAAGTGGGACAGGTTTCCTGCTCAGAATCTTCCTCACAAATGTGCCTGGCAGCACCAAGAAGGAACCCTGGAGTTTTCTGACCTTTTTCTGGTGAATGGTTCAACAATCAAGATGATATGGGCATACCCCAGTGGATCCTCTGCCACTCCATGTGCCATAGGTATTTACAGCACTTCAGCCTCTTTATTTCCTTCCTGCTTATGGCAATGCTCTCATCTGTTGAACAAACTGAATGCTTCAGCTATTCTTAAGAATAACCAGAGAAATATAAGTCTACAGCCAGCCAAAGTTGGACCTTCTGCCCATAAACTCTGGAGGTGATGTCTGAGTTGAGTTGCCAGAGAACAACTGAAGCAGTCTCACATATGTGATGAGGATGTTCCACACCAGGAATTTGTGTTGCACGCACTCCCTGACTGAGTAAAAGTAACCCAAGAGCAGCTGTAAATATGCCAACATTTCAATTGCTTCATGGTCATGCCCAGTGGCAGTCAAACCTCCCTCTTATGCTATATGAGACCAGCAAGCAAATTTTGCCCATTTTCAATGATGCAATTAAGAATGTGAGCATTATCTGGACAGGTTAGCTGTGCTGGGCACTCAGAGAACTAATATGGAAATTATTTTTGTTTCATGGAAAGTAGAAGCATCTGTCCAGTCAAGCAAACCAAGCAGTTATTCTGCATTATAAAATACACTTTTTATAGCTATTGATGTTTCAGCTGGTATTGCCACATGTCAATAGTGGGTTTGTTGCTCACATTTTAAGGACAGCTTTCAGGACAGGATTCATCTAAACTGACACAGTCTGATCAGCAGCATCTTTCCTGTGAGCATCTACATGATTTATACAGCTTTGCATTATAGAGTATTCATGCTGTTATAACAAAAATTTTAAGATATTTTACATTTTCTATGTCTCAATGCAAAATACAAGCTTAGAACCAGACCTGCTTTCTAGGACAATTAAAATTCCATGTTGAGACTCCAGAATTAAGTCTTCAAGCCACAGTTCCATGGGTTTCTAAGCCTGTCTGACCCCTCTTTTCCAGCACAGTGCTTAACAGAGGGGAAGTAAATACTGTGCTTTAGCATTTTCTCCAGTTCCTCCTCAGATTAATACTGAGCTCCAGAACAGAAACATGCAAGTCCAACATATTCTCTGATCATGTACCTACAGTAGACCATTGCTAATTTCCCTCATTTCTCGCTTCTTCAAACTTTAGAGCCACTTCAGCAACCTTCATTCCTGATGTCTTCCTTCACATCACCATTACATTCTTGAAATTATCAAAGAAAAATCATTACATCTGATTTCATTAGTAAAAAATAAATGGCAGCTGATTATGGCTTTTATGGCTTCAACTTTAAAGAAAACATAAACTTTCATGATCTATTTTCAAAAGTCAATATATCTTCAACTACTGTATTTCAAACAAACAAAACACTGCAAACCTACTTAGAGTGATAAATAAACAATGATACAGTTCCTGGGCATGAAATCTATACAGATAATTCCTTTGCATAATTCTGATTAATAGACATGATAATGTGACACTGTTGAAGGATACTAGACTTTAATAGAAGCAAAATGAGAAGATGATTCACTTACAAAGGAAGGTAATTATCTGAGAGCACTGTTTTGCTAATAATCACCAAGTTCAGAGAACACCTGCACAGAACCAACTTTCACTTTGGAAAGGGGAGTGCAGTATTCTAATCTGATAAATTTGATTACAAAGCAGAGCATATAGAGCAGAACACCTATAGAGAATCATCTATTGCTTCATCTAAAATTGTGTTTTATAATCTGCATTTGTATTAATTTAACTCATGACAGTATTTTTTTTATTCTGTTTAGAAAGGAAAACGGGAAGGATTTAGAAACCTTCTCATTTTCTGTTTTAGTACTTTGATCTGAGCTACTAGCACTTGCTTGATAAGAATCATTTTAAACTCATAATTTAAACCTTATTAGCATACACCCATCTTACAGCAAAGAAAGTGCCAGGCATTTTTTGCATAGGCACATCATTCCTAATTATTTCAATTCCATTCTAAAGGATCTTTGACAGGGCTACTGAAAGGCTTGTCAGAGAACAGGGAAACATTATGATATTCTTTCCCCATATCCCTTTCCTCATTTAATATGAGGGACATTCTAATAGAATCAAGGCTAATTTAAGAGCTGTTAATCTTTAAGGATGCTGTAGCTGGTGAAGTTACCTCTAGCACAGGGCAGCTGCTCTTCAGACACTTCTCTGGTCAGGTTCTAAGACATACACCACCCTGTCCTTAAAACACAAACTCCTTCACTCCAAAGCCCATGTGTTGCAAGCAGAGACACTTGAATTTTAGTACTGGATTGTTTGGCTTTTTAAGTGTTCAGTAATTCAACAATGCTTTTAATGATTCTATTAATTTTTAGCTAAAGCACAGGTTTTTTTTAACTGACTTCCAAAAGTCATTAAAAAAGTCTTCACTGACTTTTTGGGGTTCTGTTTCTACAGTGCATTTGCTATTTTGAGAGTAATTTATCTGCTTCCTAGCATGAACTACTGAAATCAATCTGCACTTTTAGTTAAAGTCCATCATCAGAGCCATTATATGTTACATTTGTTCAACAAACTACTATAGTTACACAATCCACAAGAAGTTGCATGGTAACTGCAGCTAAGGTCCAGCCTGCTGCACCCATCTGAGCTGTCCTGAAACCCACGGGGCTACTCTCACACCTCTGGGATGAACAGCCTGGATCCAGTGTGTTGGGGCACTGATCTTCTATGGACTCCATAACAAAGAACCAGGTGTTCTGCAATTTCTGAAAGAGGTGAGGAGCTGTCAAGTAAAACTAAGAAGTGTATGAGCTGGGGTATGAAACAGTGAAAAATGAAATACCTGCCAAAGAACCAAAAACTCAAGAAAATAACTACTCACAGAAGTAGGAAGAAAATTAAAAAAAAAAAATAAATTGAAAGATAAAGAAGGGTGTACAAGATCAAGGTATGTTAAGTTCCTCTTTTTCAGCAGAATTACAGCAGCCAAAAGCTTCACTCCAGTTCACTGATCAAAGTGCCAGCCTGCTCACTGCTGAGGACAAGCCAGATGAGGGGTGGAAAGGAGCCCCTGTGCATATGATAAATGGCTGCAATGTGCTCAATGAATGGATGGCACCATTTTTTAACAAATTAGAGATGAATGGAAGCTGGATCACTTCTAACAGCAGAACACTTCAAAAGGAGCTGAAAAAGGACTGAAGTTCAGAGATATTGATGAGATCTGCACCAAAATGCAGAGGGAGGAAGCTTCTGAAGCTTCCACTGCTGAAGATAGTTAATATGATACACAGTGAACAGAAATTGATACTGGGAGGAGAACTACCAATGTGAAATAGATAAGGTATGGCAAACTACCTCAATGTGAAAAATTAAGAGAACTTATGGTATTGTAATCCAGAAGTCATCTTCATTTTTCTTCATAACCTTCTGCTTAATAATTTTGAAAAATCATAGAGGAGAGGCAAATGGTAAAAATCAAAGGATACTCTGATAGAAGCAATTACTTAAGGATTACATTTTCCTGTAGCATGTTTCTGAGCAACATGAAATACTAGACAACTCTTTCTGAACCTCAGTTTGGAGGGAATGAGAAAATACAGTGTTCCCTGTGACAGCTTCTTGACTCTCCTTGGTATCTGTGCTGCACCTGCTGCATTTCCATTCAGTACAGAAGGGAAATAGGGACAAGTAGCAAACGGGAGCTGGTGCTAACAGAACCTGAAAGCTCTGACTCCAAGTCAAGAGCACTAGGAGTGCTCAGCAATGCTCAGCAATGCCCAGGACAGAAGAGATACAAGCAGCAAGTGCAGGCAGCTGCCTTCAGAGCTGGGAACATATGGGTACCCGTGGTGGCTCTGCCAACAGCCCACAATATGCTGTAGATCCAAGGGTCACTCTCTCCAGTGAAAGTAACTGTATTTGATTCTGGAACTGGGAATTTTTCTCCAACACAAGGACAGAAAAACTGAGGTAATTCTGGATCCCCAATATCTCTGCACATTTACACAGCCAAGGTCTTGGAGTCCCCTGTGAAAAGGAGAGAAGTTACCCAATGAACTATCCCTAGAGACTCCCAAGGATCTCTGAGGAGGATGTTAAGAGAAGGGAGGAGTAACCACTCCTGGGGACTCAGTGCCTGGCTTTCCTCAGGACTCCACATCACTTTGTTCAGAAGGCAGGAGCAGCCTCTGTGGGGGGCCCATGGACCCTCCCAACCCCAGGGAGCTTTCAGATGTGCATTGACAGGGAAAATACACCATTCCACAGCTCTGGACATTTGGCTTCTTTCTCCCCAATCCTGTCTTCCTTGCTTCATCTGTATAAATGCTGGTCTTGCCATTTAGCACTCAAAGCTACACAAAAGCATTTATTCCATGTTAGACTTTTCCATGCAGGGCTGGTACTTTGCAAAGAGCAAAATGTGAAGTTTCATAAGAGGAAATAAATGCATTATTTTCACCTTCACAGACTTTAGCCCTTCCTCTTGAGCTGTCTAGTGATCCCAAACTGAAAACATGCCAAGGCATTGCAATATAAATGCTTCATTGATTTTGTCAACCAAACAAGAAAACAAATGTATTCAGGCAATCATTATGTTTAAATTAAGCCTGAAAAACATTTAACAGTACTAAGAAGGAAAAAATACACTGAATTTTTATATTATGAAATTGAAAGGAAAAATTTATAAAACCTATTTAAGAAAAAAAAACAAAACAAAAAGACAATAAAACCCAAAAAAACCCAAACCAAAACAAATAAAAAACAAACCAAAAATCAACCAACCAACCAAAAAGCAACAAAAAGAACCCAACCCAGTTTCCCTGACAGGAGAACTAATTATCATATCTGCCCACAGAAATCCATGCAGGATCAGTAGTTCCTAAGTGAAAAAGGTGCTGTCTGTCAGGAGAAAATCAGAATATGTTTCATCCTGCTACACCAAAACCTGTAACTTTGGCGGTGCATCTCAGATACTTTGTGAGCACTGATGGTCACACAACTATATCATTACATATTGTCACAGATATTTGTCTTTCAAAGGCTCAGATACTTGTTTTCACTATTTGCACTGCTGATTCAAGTTCTTTCCCACCCAGCCATTTGGGCGCTTTGCACATTTGTTTTCTCATGTAAACAGAAGGACAACTTAAGGAAGCAGCAGCTTGGCAATAGTTGGTCCTACCAATACTATGGTAGTTTCTTGGCAATTTTTTTATGTGCCATGATCCTGAGTAGGATACAATCATCCAAAATTGTGAAATCACGTTCTGCCATATTTCGTATGCTTATTGCTGGAGATGTGGCAGATTACTGACGTGATCCAAAATCCAGCAAAGGCATAAAAACAAACTTAAAATCTACTGGTAGCATGAGTAGCAGAATGCTTATGCTTCTCACTCTCCTAAATCAGGTGAAAAATCTCACTAGAAATGGACCCAATTATCCTCCCAACTGATGAAGATAAAACAATCAATAGGCAAGGATTGGCAAAGGCAACACAAAATGAACTGCTGGAGTATAGCAGGTTTACAAGAGTGAGGATTAGGATACAGCAACACTGCAGTATCTTGGTGCTCACAGTGCTGTTATAAAAAGCCAAGCCAAACACAACTGGGTCACATCTGAAAGCATATCTTGCCTTTTTAAAGGATATTATTAGTTTACTTCTGGGTTAATATTTTTCCCTTATCACTAGGAAAAATCAATATGAGCATGAATATTGTTATTCCTTCATGGTGATCCCGAGTTTTGCCAAAAGGGATCAGTGGGAACACATTCTGTGGTTTCCCCACGGGCATTAGGCAGTGCTGCAGGATGTGTGTACACAGCACTCCTACACGTGCATGTCAGCTGCATCCCTCCAACAGCTGCATTTGCAGCTGGGCCTTGCAGGGAGGTGATGCTCAAGATCACTGTTCCAAAGGCAGAAATGAGGGGCAGGACCATCAACCACTGCCTGATTTCATCAGGTCTCTTGCTGAGTTACTTTTTCTAAACTGGAATTGCTCCATATATAAACTGGAATTTCCTCCATATCTATGAAACCAAGCCTGTGCTGTCAGTGTCATGGTTTGTGCTCAGGTTTGGCAGACAGGAACGATAGGCTCCCCGAATAACTGTGGTGCACCATCTTCCCCTCTCTAATTCTCATAACAAACATGGTGGCGGTGTCTTGACAAAACAAAATTAAAAGAGGTAACACAGACAATACAAAAGCTTCCCATCACATCAAATGATGGGAAGTTTTTGAACAGTAATTTTTTGAACAGTAAATACCAGCCAATCCTTTCTCTTGGTTTCTGCATGGCTAAATATGGAACTTCATTTGCTGTCTCAGCATATTTTGTTCAAATATAAGTATGATAAAATAATTTGAGGACTAAGACTTAAGATCAGAAACTTAGCAATGGAGCTTATAATGTGTTTCATGAGGTGTCAGATGGCCTGTAATGGAACATTTGGAGTGGAATTCAAACAGATCTGAAGTTGTAAGAGTTATTCAACAGTGAGCTAATGAGAGCACTCCTTTATAAAATGAAGAACTGCAGAGTACTTTTATTGAAGCATACATTTTTTGAAAAGCATTTACTATGGAAACTAAGTTCTATGAAAAGATCCAGAATACGAGGGAAACTACAGGTATGCCATCTGAACCAGCTTTCTGACCAGAGAAAAAAGAATTATAAAGCCTGGTGGTAGGGGGTGATTGGATAGGAAGATAAAATATCCCTGTTTAACAAAAGCAATGTTGAAGCTTGCAGTTTTTAGTGATAAAGAGCAAGCTGTCGCACTCCTCCCCTATATGCATTTCCCTGGCTCGAGAATATTTCATTATAGAGGGTTTTTAAAAAGACTGAGCCATTTAGAGTGGTTTTTTCACTCATCATAGGGAATTGTAAGCTCTCCTGGTCATTTGCCTAGCTGACCTCCCTACAGAGCAGTGCTGGCAACATTACAGAAACGAGAAGAAATCAGCTCCACCAGGAATAGCTGGATGAGCCAGTGAAGCCACAAAATAGAAACTCTGCTGTGAAGTGGTACAGACCTGGTGCAGGCTCAGGAAATCATCACAAGCAAGAGCATTTCACCTCTGGGAGCCCCAAACTTACAGATTAAACTGCCATGTACCAATAATTAATAAAACTCACCAGAACATGAATAAATGGGCTCTCACTGAGTAAGCAGCTAACAACACTGTTTATACACCTGAAATGTGCTGTCGTGCACACCTGGAAGGTGGTAATTCCCTTTGTTCTCTGCATCTGCAAAAACAGCTTCATGCAAAAGGCTTAGTAGTTACAAGGTCACAAAGGTGTACTACCCCTAAGTACAGTGTCAAAATATGCATTTTATGAAGAAGGAGGAGGGAAAAAAAGCTCACTTAATAAAAACAATCTACTGGCTTTGCACATCAGATGGAAAGCAAAGGAAAATCTATGCTGCTTTGCACCTTCTTTTTAACCAGGTGAACTGAAAATGTGATGAGCTACACATTTCAATATTATATGCCCACACCCAAAGGGTGCACAAGGAGTGGAGAGGAACAGGACTGCATGTTCTTTTTTCAAATTGCACCTATTATCTAATATACCAGTAGAAACATTTCCCACAATAATGATATGCATACGCCTCAAAAGCTGTTTATTTGGCAACCTTGATGTATACTTCATTAAAGTATTGCCTGGCACATCTCCTTGCAAGAAATGATTTAAGCAAAAAACCCAGAGCCATCTTCTATCCACATTGTAAGCATGGACTGTCATTTTCTGAATGAATTTAAATAGCTTTAGAACCACAGAATGTTTACACGGATGACACAGACTAAAGTGTTTGTCCTGCATCACAATACTCTTAAGTGAAGACAGCTGGATTCTATTCTACCAGGAACATCAATCAATAGAGCTGCCAACTACATTCAAATGAGGAAAACAGCTATCATTGAAAAAAGTCAAACAAGAGGCAGAACTGGATGCAACTATATCACAGATTGTGTTAAAAAAGTTTAAAAAACATCCAGAACTACTTGCAAATTGAATGAATTAGATGTGAAAGAAAACAAAAATGGTGCACTTGGAGTTGCCAAAGAGAAGAATGGTTCCATCAGGAACCTCAGCAATTCTTTTCCACCTTCAGTAGGCTGGGAAGAAGCAAACAGTACCTTTGGGGTGCTGTGTTGTTCCTGGTGTTTCTGTCTGCAAGCTTTCCATGGAGTTCAGAGAACACTTCCTCTTGCATATCATTTACAGAAGACTTCACTGTGCACTCGGAAGCATTTATTTCAGATTACATCCAAAAAGTATCAGCACAGCCCTACAACTCTGGGTGTTCAGTTCTTCACCTGGACATGGTGCAGGAGGGCTCTCAAACACCTTTGGCAAGTGGCACTGATAATGATGTACTGGTTTCACTCCTCTAACAGAGAACTGCCCTAAACACCCAGGGACAAACTGCTTTGCAGAGAGCCAAGCTGTGGAAGCAGTTAAAGAATGATGTAAAACAAAATACTCCATTCAGCTTACAGTTTAAGCAGGGAGTGAAACAGAAAACATATTTCAACACACAAAAATGCTGCTAGGGACCTTCATATATTTATCTCCTGTGGCTTCTCTTTGGGTCAGAAATGACCACAGTGCCAAATGCACAGCACATCAGTGATTACCCATTCCTATTTATAACTCCCATGTGCCAAATAACTATGACAGAAGGCTCACCATAAACACCCTCATTTTCCATTTATAAATAATACACAGTTTGCTGAAAGGATTCCACAAATAGTAGCACTGCACATCTGCAGTAACATAGGAAACTCAGCAAATGTGCATTATTGGCAAGTTTTTAAAATACCTATAGGCAAGTTTGTGGTTTGTCTATGGCTGCATTTAGTGCAGCTTGCATGATCCAATCTGTGCATATTTGCTGGGTGTAATGTTACTATATTTACATTATTAGCATATCCAAATTTATTTTTGGGAGGGTAAAAAACTGAGGGAGTGGTGACTGAGTCAAGATCCCACATATTAGATTTCCATTTGGAATAGGTTTCCCAAGGCATCTAATTTCATTTGCAGCATTGTATGTCTGGGACTTCTCCACATCTAATTGATGGAAAATATTATGTCTGTGTTTTTATCCAATTCCTAAAAGGCATTCCCTTTATATGGTTATAAGTACTTCAGTTGGGTATGCCAGCAGACTTTTGGTATTGCCATACCAAAGAAAGCATGCTGGATTTTCCATGATGGGCATAAATTCCTGCAGCTGCTGGGTCTTGGCTTTTTAAACTATCGACAGTATGTCCAGCAATATGCCCTTAAACGTCAAAAAGAATTGGGAACATCAAGTATTTGAAATTAATTTCCTAAAGGTCTGCATGAATCAAAAGAAATTCTTGAGTTGAGACTGAGTCCTGCAGGAATGAGGGAAAAGAAAAACAAAATATCAGGAAATCTATTGCCAACTTTGACACGATAAGAAGGAATGAGAAATCTACAGAGAAGCTTCACTTGTTAACACTGAGTCCCTGGTTGGGGAGGCATGTCAGAAAGAAGCATTTTGCTAGGAGAAATAAAGGTATTTTTAATTTAAGTTTACAAGGATCACATTTGCTCCTGACTTATCTCCACCCA